GGAGCATTACAGACTTGTGTTAGTGAACAGCTTTGACTGAAAGACCAGGGCTTCCCTCTACTGGTAGACAGCTCGGAGGTGTATTTGTAATGTTTCACAGTAATATATATTGTTTGGTTGTTTTTTTAATCTATTGTTTATTTGCTTTTACACAGTTGAACAGTTTTGGATGCATTGTTGAAGCTGCACTTATGGTTGTTTTAAAGGACTGTTGGACACTGGGTACAAGAAAAAACACTTTTGTGCCAATAAAATACACTTCTGAATAAAATGATTGCAAATAAAGCTTTCATATGTGTGTGTCACATACATTGTGATACATATTTCACAAATTTTAGAATAGCTTCAATTCAATGTAATGGTTGAGCTGCAAAAAGTAAAAGTGTCCACTGTGGCTAAAAAGCAAAAGGCAGAGAAAAGTCTTAAAACAGAATATTATTTGCCCCCCCGCCCACCCCAATTAATCTCTGCATTCCTGCTTCCATTTCAGCAATTATTTAAACATTATGGTTTAAAAACCTCATAATTAAGATAGACATTGTACACTGTTAGTTACTGTATTAGTACAACACAATGTAAATGCCATAAATATAAGTGTAATAAATCCTCCTTCATGGCGGTTATCATGCTGCTCAGTAATTGTGTAGTCGTAGTTTTCCACATTTTTATTATGAATGAATCTATTCAACAGCTCTAAAAAAAAAAAAGAAAAAACATCGCAGCAAAAATTAACTCACTTTCCCAGAATGCCTCTGTGAAAAGCAGCGGCAGCGGAAGCGGGGTAGTTCGTTGCTCGGGAACAGTTTTCCGCGCTGCTGTTTGTATTATGAGTGTCTGTGGGTGTGTGTGTGCCGCTCACTCAGCTGCGTTTAACGGATTATAAGTTAGCTGCAGAGCGATAACATGCCTGCTAACGTCTCTGACTGTGCTTTGGCCTGGCTGTTAGTTACAGTCCATGCTTACTGAGCTGAGGGATGAAGAGCAGAAAGCAGAGGTCCGCCAGAACTGCAGGCAGCAAAAAGAAAGGTAAACTCAGTTTAGCTAGCCGTTAGCTACTGTAATGTTACCGACAGCTGTCAGCCTCAGATTAGCCTCAAATGTTTACTTACTTATTAGTTACATTTCTCTATGTACTGTTTGTTTTGTATGCACTGTCTTTCGGTTTGTTTCGCCGGTCTTCACAAGTCTCTTTTGTTTGTTTACGTGTAGCTCTAGCAGTCAACTTTATGCAACCTTTGTTTGTGGTTTTGTCAAAATATGCTAAAGCTAAAGGCAAAGTATACAATCTCTCTTTAAAACGGGCGCCTTCAATCGGTTTCTGTTTTATTCCTTTTTCGTTTTTGTGGTGTTTATGCATAAACAAGACTGTGTTGATTTCATAAGAGATACCAAAATACTTCCTAATACATGGCAAGTTGGTGTAAGATTAAGTGAGTAATCAGACCTTGAGAACGCTCACCGGCCACTATGTTAGGTACGCCTGTTTAGGCTGCTGCTGGTGGTGTAAGGCTGTGGGGATATTGTTTTGGCACACTTTGAACCCCTTAGTATGTATTTATTTACTGAGAACTGTTTAAAAAACAAAACACAGCCTTCCTTTGTAATGTTGCTGGCCATGTCCATCCCTTTACTGAACACATTGTATCCATTTTTTGATGGGTACAATGTCACAAATCTCAAATTGTCTAATGTTGGTTTCTTGAACATGGCAAAGAGTTCATTGTACGTAACTAGCCTTCACAGTCATTAGATCTCAATCTAATAGAGCAATGGGCGATATAAAAGAACTTATAAAATATCCATTGAAAGTGTAAGCATTGGTGTTTTTTACTGTAAATTTATTTAGGTCTGATTTAAATCTCTGCGGATCTATGTTGTAACATACGACCTAACTGAAAGCCCCATATAACCAGTTATATCCCGCTGAAGTTAGAACAGTATTGTCAGTGTGATTTTTAGTTTGGGTTAAAGTAACTTTGACAGTAAAATTTTCCCTCTTTAACCTAATATTTTTCATTCGTTTAAAGAAAAACATTAGGTAAAATCTTTCAGTACATGTTTTTCTTTCTAGAGGAAGGCTTGATATAATTTGTCATATCCAATCTGTTATATTTGTCCAATGTTTTTCAAGGCAATAAAAGAAAATATAGGAAAACTGAACATCCCATTCGTTTTATTACTTTCTTTGTGTTTCCACTTTAACTCTTGCAGTCCCCAGTGATGTGTCCCCATCCACTAGTCTCCCACCTCTGGTCGAGGGCCAGCTCAGATGCTTCCTGAAGGTGACCATAGGCCGAGTTTTATGGACAGTTCACAAGCCACCATCTGCAACGTTCATCAGGCTGCGCTGGTGGGGAGAGTCGTCCGACGGTACACATTTCTTTCCCAGAGATGGATCACAGCTGGCACAGAAAACTATCAAGACCACAGCTCGCTTCCCCATCCGCTGTGGCCCAAAACAGTTCACCTCTTACCTTACAGGTAGTTAGGAGAGGTTGATGCTCTTGAGTTTGCTATGCTGCTTCGATTTCCTTTTAATCTCCATTATGCTGTTCATCAACAGATATGGGCTCTTTGGTGCTGGAAGTCCTAACTAAACCAGATCATCTGCCAGTTGCACGAGCTCAGGTCGCTGGCATCTCCCGCCTGTCACTATCACAGTCAATCAGTGGATTTTACACTCTTGTATCTCCAACGTCTGAAAAGCTGGGAGAGCTACAGGTGAGTGTAGACTTAAAATCATATTTACTTGCCAAGTGCTTATTTGTATCTGAGTATTATTGGCTGTATTGAAATTGGGCTTTGCTCACTCAGTTTGTGACATTGAGGACAGTCCACATCTAAGCTTTTTCTTACACCCCTCATCAGGTAGCTCTTAGTTTGGAGCCACTGACAGAAGCTTATGACAGCAGCGGCTCCGGTCCCCACACAGACCTCAGCACCGAGCGACGACAAGTCACCCCAATGACCGTGCCGTCACAGCACAGGTTGCTTTCAGCCAACAACGGGAAAGAATCAGCCGAGAGCAGTGGCGGAAACACACCAAGGTTTAGAGTTGAATTCAAACACCTGCACAGCATCTCATATCTTGGCATACGCAGTGCCATTTTTAAATCTGAGGACAGTGATCTTACTTATTCGTTGCTATAATATTTTCAGAGGGAAGGACCACTTATATTTCCAAAATGCACAGAGGGACGAAGAAGAGACGCTTGAAAATCAGATGCCAACAACAAACAGATCTCAGAACAGTCAAACAGCTGTGAATCCTTTAAATCAACCAACTAATGATATCATTTCAGGTTTGTTTAAGCATCCATGCATTATCAGTTTGCAGAAACGCATATCTATATTTTGAAATTTTATTTCTTTCATCTCAGTTATTCTCGACCGTGGAAACAAACTCAGAAATGCAATGGTTATATCAGCTTTGAAATCTGACACCGATAGTGCGGCGGCTCTGAAAGATACTCCACTGCCTCTACCAAAGGATAACATCCAACCTCTGCCAAAGTTAGTGTTGAAAAAAAAATAGTGCTTCCTCTCTCTTACCAATTCACTTTCTGTAAGACTTTCTTCTTTTCTTTGCAGGCCCTTGTCTTCTCCTTCTGGGATGTTTCTTGAAAATATCCTTCACACTGATTTAACTCTGAAGCACTCTGATGATGTTACTGTAATCTCAGACAGTGACTTGGACGGGCCTGCTGACATAGACAACAGAGCTGTGGATCTGGTACTTGGCAGGTATCCATGTTTGAATTTATATCCAGATGCAGATGTACGATGTTGTATTTTTACTTAAAGTTTTCCCTTTTTTTCTCTTTTCTTTTAAAGCTCTACTTCTGCTTTTCCTCTCTGGGATGGACAAGGCCCCTGCCCTGATTCTCTTTCTGGTCATAGCAGTGTCTGTAGCGATAGCGAGCTCAATGATCCACAGTATGATCAGAGCTTGCTGGAAAATTTGTTCTACAAAACTCCTGTAACTAGATGACTTTTATATGTTTGTTTTTTTAAATTTTGGTAAAGTAAGCTTTGTCAGTTTAACAGATTTTCTAGTATAACTGTCATTCTTTCAGATTACAGGTACCACATTAGCTGACACTGAGGAGGAGTGCCAAGGGATCGTGTCTTCAAGTAAAGATCAGGCAAAAAAGCTGACCGGGTCTGCACCCAAGATTAGTGAAGGGTGAGGGCCTTTACATATTCTTTTTAAGTCAGAGCTAGAGCTTCTTTCAGAGGCTCAGGTTGTTCTTAGATGCATGAAATGGTTGGGAACTGTGTTTTTCTGTGTCCAGCCACAATTCAGAGAATCAGCGGTCAGGAAATGGTGGGAATATCCATTTTCTCCTGAGTGCAGAGCAGCTGACTTTGCTGAGTTCGGTGCGGCTGGCAAGAGTGACGATTGAGTCTCTGACTGTACCAGCTAGC